AGGTGGTGGCATTCTTGTTTTTATGAATGCAGAATCTGAGATCCACAATGTTAAGTAACTTGCACAAGATAAAGTAGCTGGCAAAGAGCAGAGGATTCGAACGCACGTCAAGCTGGCCACAAAGCAGTCACTCTGCCCTGCTGCCCACTCTTATCCAACCCTGGCCTTACCTAAGAAAACATGTTGCTAGTTTTTATTGTGGGAATGAATGGGAAAGGAGTTGGAACAAAATGTTCCTGAGTATCTACTGACTGACACTTTAGTTACACCACGGTGTCTAGATAACCTCACTCTAGAAGACTTAATTTTCAGAAATGTTACAACTCCCGCTCCTGTCTTCCTTTTTGTTGCTTCTAGAATAATTATGTTTTCTTTGAACAGATTTTATCATGTTAAAAACAAAGTTGGCTTTTTTTCCCTGATAAAAATACATGTTTACTGTAGAAAATACCAATGTACACAAAAAGGACATGTCCCAAACTACACACCAGCTTCCGGTTAGGAATGTTGGCACTGGAGCGGGACTGCCTAGGTGTGAATCCCTGCTCTGAAACTTAGAGTTTGTATGAACTTGGGCTAGTCACTTCTGTGCCTGTTTCCTGCCTGTGAAGTTGGAAATAATATTCTTCATTAGGGTTTTATTAAGATTAAGTGAGTTAATAGACACAAAACTCCCAGAAGTGACCAAGAGCCATTTAATACTTTAATAAGTAACCTTCAGTTCTTCCTCTCTGAACTTGTGATACTTGTGTAATACAGAGATAGTGTGCATATATTAATAAACAAAACTAAGGTACTTTTCAAACCAGCCACTTTTCATTGAGTTACGTATCAGGAACGCCTTTTCCTTCCCTCTAAAGAGCCTTCTCCATTACTTGACAGCTGTCTGCAACCCCAGGATGTGATGATGGGAGTGGAACTGAATTCCTATTGTTGGCCACACAGATTTCCAGTTTTGCAGTTAACAGTGCATTGTAAACAAATTTGGATAGTTGTACCATGAATGATGGCTCTGTGGGTGATAGGAGCTTCTAGCTCCTTTCAGAGCATATCTATGCCTGCTTCCCCTGGTGTGAATGAGGATTGGAAAGTCTACTTTTGGAGATCAGAACCTGCCTTAATTCTGAGTCAGGCAGCACTGTGAACTTCTCATAAACCAGCCCTAAGTAGGGAACTCAGACTCTGGCTCCCCACTCCCCCTGCCTTAAATCTAGAAAAAACATGTTTCTGTTTTTAATACCTCTAATATGAATTATCTCTTGGTTCCCAAGAAATCACAAATCAGAAAGTCCTCTTATTCCATTCTTGCTACGTCTGAGGTGCTTTCAAGAAGACTGTCCTCCTGAAAGGGCTTAGAGGTAAAGCCCTACTCTCTTCTTTCCAGGTTGGACCCCTAAACACTACCCTTCAGGGTGGAGAGCTGCAGCCACTTCTATATCATGGGGGGCACCATTCGCTGCCATTTTAGTTATATGAGTTTTTGGTGACATGCTTATTTGATTGATTACTTTATTGGTGTAAAATTCTTCTTCCTGGTCTCAGATTGGCAGAAACCTTTGATTAGTTCCCCCTTAAAATCACCTTACCCCTCCTCGGCCTTTTGTTACATAAGCCATAGGTCATGTTTGAAAAGCCTACCGTTGCCTGTCCACCCCCCACCTTCAGGTGCACTATGTATATAGACTCAAGGGAGGTACTTGCTTGTTGAATCTGAGCTCCAGGAGGCAAAAGAGTGATGGGCAGATGTGGTTCAGGATCAATAATCTCTTGCGGGATTCTCCTTTTAAAAGGTTTATGGCTTTAATGAGATTTTTCTCCTTCAGTCTAACAGAAGAAATCCCCAAGTGTTGGAAACTGGACATTTGAAACAGTATAATTCTAAAGGAACTAAGCTGCATTTTAGGACACTGTTGACTGACCAATCTCAGACATAGCCATTTTCCTAAGACATTTAAGGGAAGAGCTTGATGTTTTTCACTCTAATCTAGGAAGTATATCATCATCCCTGAGAAAGAATCTAATATGCTATTTAGGGGGATGTGTCTGCCAAAATTACAGAGGGGCCAGTGTGTCTTTGAGGTTCGCTGGAAGGCATCAGGACTTAAAAAGAGGAATGTGTGTATTCCACATCTGCAAAACTCAAAGCATCAGTTACTCCTGGTAGTATTTTCCAAAGTGCATTTTAATTAGTTTCCTTCTGACACCCTCCCTGTGAGAAAGGTTAAGTAGCATTACCCTCCTTCCACTGATGAGGGCACTGAAACAATGAGAGGTTAATTGACTTGCCTTGGGCTCTCTGCAGTGAGGCTGACCCAGCTCGGAATATTGCTGCCTGTAAATCCCGCTTTCCACTCCAAAAGCTCTGCAGAGCCAGGATGGCCTCAAGAGAGGCCAGAAAAGCTCCTAGCCTAGAAAGGGGCATCTTGCTCAGCCATATTCTTGCAGTCTTACTTGGGGATGGCTGAGGCAGAGAGAGAGCTGGTCTCTTCAAAGTCAAGTCCAAGATCCTCGACCTAGAAACTGTTCTACTGCCCTGAACTAAGCTGTAGGAATGATGGATGGCAGAAATTATTTTTGGCTCAACTGCTCAGTCTTGGCAGGGGCCTTTTAAATTTGAAATGTAAACCTGATGTCTACAAAAGGTTTAGGAATCTGATATTATCTCCCTATATTTCACAGGTTGTTGGCCTTTTCTGTAAAGGGGCTGCAATTATCTCTGGTGCACGTTCCTGTTAAGGGCTCTCTACAATAAAGATACTGTAAAATATTTAATTAGGACTACAGGGATGGCTTCTAATATAGAAGGTCCGTGCATCTCTTCCACCCACCACCAACAGACCTACTAAAGCTTGAATCATCTTGGCTCACTGCTCCCAGCAAAGCAGCAGATCCTCGCCTCAAAGCCAGGTTGGTGGTGCTGGTGGTGATGTGGTCTTAGATAAGAAGTTACTATACTTGATGCTTCTGTTTCTTCTTGTGTCTTGTTCCTCTTGTGTCTTGAGTGTACTTTGTTTCTTTTTGTATCTTGAATGTACTTTTCCCACTGGCTCCTTAAAGGCCCACTCATAATTAGCTAAAATACCTGCAAGACTGGGCTGGAGGAGAGCAAGCTTAATAAAGGTGAGGAAAACATGGAATTTAAGGCAGCACACTTGGTTTAATCCCCACTCTATTGTTTACAAGGTATGTAGCCTTAGGCTAGCAGGGTCTTCTTTTTGAGCTCCAATTTCTCTCAGCTGTAAAATGAGAATACCTACCTCACCATTAAACTATAAAACCGCACCAATAGACCTCCACTTCATAGAAACAGATCAAGTTTTGATCCAGTGAGACTTGGCATGTGGCCTCAGAATGAGGTTGCCACTGTTCCTCTGCCACCCAGAACACCCTCCTTTGCCTTCAGTTGTTTACCTTAAAACGTGGGGTAGAGTGGAGATTTGCCACGTGGGGCTTGGAACTCTATACATTTTACTGGACCGGGAAATCAAGGCCAGACACAGTGAAGGGATGAAGCCAGACTGATGTGACCTTTCTGTGTGTTTTGTCTGGAGCAGGGATCTCTGGTCATCTCCCTTACCCTTTTCTTCCCGGATGGAACAAGAAGATAATCAGGGTGTGTGTGAACACCAGGACTCAGAAGACAAGGGGATGGGCTCTGATTTTGAGAACTCTGAGGACAGGGAAGAGGAACGAGAAGAAAGAGAAATGGGCTCTAATCTGCTGAATGCAGACAAAAGAGAAGGCCACCTGGAGCAAGAGATGTGCTCTAACCCACAGGATGAAGCTCTAAGACAAAGCTTGGAACAGAGGGAAGTAGTGCCCAACACCTGCACAGGTGAGGAGGCAGCTGGAATTTCTATGGAAGTTGCCCACTCACATTTACTTCTAGCTCCTCCAGAGTCATAACCATGGGCAGCATTCTTTGTGGGAAAGCTCTCTAGAGGAGACTGTCTTAGTCCGTTTTCTGTTGCTCATAACTGAATACCTGAAACTGGGTAATGTATAAAGAAATGGAATTTATTTCTTACAGTTTGGGAGGCTAGGAGGTTCAAGGTCCAGGGACACATTTATTTCTTACAGTTTGGGAGGCTAGGAGGTTCAAGGTCAAGGTGAGGGCATTCAGGAGAGTCCTGTGGCAATGCAGGGAATCACATAGCAAGGGCTAAAAGCAAGAGCACACTAACATGCTCACTTGTTCTCCTATTAAAGCCACCGGTGCCCTCCCAAGATAGCCCATTAAACCATTAACCTATTAATCTATTAATGGATTAATCAATTCTTGCAAGCACAGTCCTCACTATCCAATCACCTCTTAAAAGCCCCACCTTTCAAATACTATATTGGAGATTAAGCTTCACCATGAATTTTTGAGTGGACATTCAACCCATGGCAGAGACCATTAAGCAGGATTTTGTACTGATTCAGCCTTTCTAGTGTTAGCCCCAAGAGACATCCTTTTCTTCAATCCAGGCTGAGGTGGCTGTGCTTGTAAGCATGGGTGAAGAGGCTCCCTCACTGGTGTAGCACTTTACAGCATAAAGAATACTTGCTATAAATTAACACATGTAACACTACAATAGAATTACACAGGCAGTATTAGAACCTACTTCATAGTGTTTGTTGGCAGGGTTAAATGAGCTGCTGCATAGTCACTTAGCACAGTACTAAGCAAACAGAAAGTATCCAGGTGTTTACAGTTAAGGTGATTGTATCTCTCTGTAGATAAGTAAACTGAGTGGTAAGTGACCTGCCTAGGTTCATGTGGCTAATTCCCAAAGTGCCAAGGCCTCTGCTAATTTCCTTACTATTCCTCGCTGGAAAGAGTAAATAAATGCTAGTCCTCCATCCACCTCCTTGTTTTCCTCTGGGCATTCATTGCTTTGTTCTGTTCAGTGCGTGCCCTGTGGACAGAAATGAGCTGAAATACTTTATGGCTAGGACTGTGAGGTTACAGTCCTAGGCTTCCTGCTGCCCTCCCCCACAGTGCACACAAGAATGTGGCCTTTCACATCTCAGGAACTTCCTGGAGTGCCCTCTGCTTGGGGATAACAGCCAGACATCAAAAGGTGTGTGTCCTGGACTAGCCTCTAACCTGGGCTCACCAGCTCTAGGCTCTGTGCTCTCACTCTACTATCATCCCACTCCACCCCCACCCCGCAATCCATAGTAAAGTCCCTAAGGTGAGTTCAGTTTGTTGTTTCACTTTAAGCTGTTCCAGACTGACCAAATATATTTTAAAAGCCAGTTCAGGGCCTGGTTAGGCCCGGTGGTCTTTTTTGTGGTGGGCCAGACTGGTCTTGTCTTTTAAGGCTAGAGCATCAAAAGGCATTGGTCGCTCGTGAAATGAGAAAACCATTTCTCTCAAGATTCCCAAGAGTCCCACGTGGCACAGTCGGTGGGGCCTGGGCAAAGGGGGCCAGTCAGTGCGCTCTCCTTTAGACCTTTCCCTGTTGGAGCCAGGTGGGAGGGAGGCTGGAATCGCAGGGGAAGTCGGACGGGTGGGGGCAGAGAGTTCCCTGCGGGCTGGGGGTCACTCCCTGACCCACACTCTTTATTGAGATTGGCTTCCTCCGACTTACCTTCTGAACGCCAAGTACAGTAACCCCCCACTGCCGCCTTTTCTGTTGCAGAGGCGCTGCTGACTGAGGAAGAAGACGCTCAACCTGGTGGAGCTGACTTGGCGATGTTTCCAGGACTGTCTGAGTCCGACTGCATATCCCGGACACCCCGGGAAGAGGAGGAGAGTGCCGGGGAGAACCAGCTGGAGGAGGAAGAGGAGCGGCCGCCCGCTCCCGTACTTCCCTGGAGGAGGCACCTCTCCCTGGGGAGTCGGCACCGGAGTGACAAGCCTGCCCGCCGCCGCTTCCACCGGCTCCACCACCCCATGGCCATGGACCTCGGGGAGCTCGACAGCCTGGTGGCCAGCATCATGGACGCACCCACCATCTGCCCCGACTGCGGGGAGAGCTTCAGCCCGGGCGCCGCCTTCCTGCAGCACCAGCGCATTCACCGCCTGGCGGAGGCCGCCGCCGTGGCCAGCCTGGAGCCCTTCGGCTTCGCGGGGGAGTGCGGCG